TATGTATATGTGTGTGTGTGTGTGTGTGTGTGTGTGTGTATATATGCAGTATATGTATATATACTATATATATATATAGATGCAGTATATATATATAAAATTTTTGTACTTACATTATTTACTTTTTAATTAATGTATTATTTTATTTTCTCTATCTTTTTTGACTGATAATTACTTGGGTTTCTAAATTAGTAGCTATTCTATATTATTTAGGTTTTTTTCTTAATACATCATTAGGGTTGAACTGTTTGAATTCTATTTACAAGTTCTAGTTTTCTGTTTTTGTCTTACTTTATCTATTCTTTTTAAAAGATACAATTATATATTTTGTTTTTTAAAAATGATACAATTCAAACTCTCTATTTGATCAGGGGTCTTGCCTAAAGAGAACTGATGTGGTTGGTGGCATGTATAAATTGGCCCTTTATTTGAGACAAGACTGAATAAAATAAATAAAAAATAGCACCTTTGATAAAGAGATCTGTGTGCTTAAGGAACAAGTGAATTTCTTCCTCTGCCTGGGAAATCTATACCAGCTTTTCCTGTCATCCTTTAGATGTATTGGAACTGCAGTGGCTTGCCAAAGTGGTATTGTTTGGAAATTATTTTGGAATTCCAATCCCAACACTTGTGGAGGAACACTGAGTTCCCCTTCTCCCCCAGCTGTTATTAAAATATTAGAATATCCCCAGAAAATAATATATGGCTTTAAAAAATATACCATATTGCAACTGCTCAAGCACTTTAAAGCATGTCACATATTCTGTAAGAGTGAGCAACTGTATGTCTGAATGAATTAATGCTGCTATATCAGCTTGGCTCTGAAAGAGAGCAATGCCAAAGTCCATCTGCATGTTGTAAGAATCTCATTTGAGGTAGCATCCAAGACTGTGTGGTTGCAATGTCTATGCTACAAAGCTTTAAAGCAAAACATAGGCCTGTGGTTCAGTGTGTTGCCATAAAGGGTGCAAGCTGCTAAGAAGATTATTGAACTTCCCATTCCAAAATCTTAGTGCAAATGGAAAAGGGGAGATTTTAAGCATAGCTCTCCCAAACCATGTCTAGGCTGGGAAATCTGTATATGAATTAAACAATTTGAGACTATTGGCAAGAATTTTCATGTGATCAGATGTTATACATTTATTACATAGCTACCCATTCTTATTCTAAGAAGCTAAGGGCAACATACATAATTTGTTCTACCATATTGTCCTTGCAAGGAAGCTATGAGATAGGTCTCATGAGAGACTGACTGCCTTAAGAACACAGAGTTCACGGAGAAGTGTAGATTTCAACCAAGTTCTCCCCAGTTGAAAGTAGGCACACATATTAACAAAAACTAGCTTTCTCCTTCATAGAGATTTCATCTACCAAGAATGTGGATGTCAGCAAGAACTGAGCACAATTTAAATACAGTGTAGGAGGCTGGAGATTCAGTCTCCAGTTAAAGCTTTAGTAGCAGCTCAGGGGAAAAGTCATGAACTGGAAATAAGTTTATTTGAAATTTGCTTTTGAGTTTTATCTGATGAAATCAGGCAGACTGCTTGTTGATTGGCTTGTTTCTTTCCACGATGGAAGGAATAGGTGAGGGAGCATCCGACTCCAAGAAAGACTATTACTTTACTCCTACATGACTACTACTTAACTACTGCAATATGCTCAATGTGTGGCTACCCTTGAATAGTGCCTGGAAAGTGCAACTGATGCAAAATGTGGCAGCCAGGCTGCTAACTGGTGCAAGTTATAGATGCCTGTACTGGAAAATCTGTACTGGCTGCCAGTTGCCCGTCAGACATAATTTGAGACACTGGTGTTGATCTTAAGGGTTTTAGAGCTTAAGACATGATTATTTGTGCATCTCAACTCCAGCTACAAACCTACTATGTTATTTACATCAGCAGGAGAGGCCCTTCTGAAGATACCATAGCTGCCAGAATTTGGTTCTCTGTTATGTGGGAGGGAGCCTTCTTTTCTGTGACTTCCAGGCCACAGACAGTTCTCCCAGGGGAGTGGCTGCTTTCATAATCCCATTATTTAGAAAAATGGTAAGAATACATCATTTAACTATTTGCTTTTAGTTGTTAATTGATTTTAATGATACCGATTTTAATTGCACTGATTTTAACATTCTGTATTTTGTTCTATTGGTGGAAGCCACCTTGAGTGCTTATTTAAGTAGAAAGGTAAGGTATAAATTTAATAATAAATAAAAACAGGGTAAGTTAATGTTTGGAAAAAAAAAAAACGAGAACTTTATTACACACCCTGGACATAGACTGATGACTATGAAAAAAAATAAACTAGAGCCAAAACTTCTAAAGGATAAGTTAGCCAAAAATTTAATTATTCCAGGAGTGGGCAACCTACAGCCCATTGGCCAGGATTCCATTTATATCCTTCCCCTGCTCCCTAAAATCACACTGCTGAAATTTGGCAGCAAAATGGCCCAATTTTAGGGCTGCAATTTTGGTGTGTGTATGTTAATTAAGGTTGGGAATAGGAATGGGAAGGCTCTAGGAGGCTTCCACATCTAATTTCTACCAATAATCACCTCAAACCACCCAAAATATTGAACTTGGCGGAAATTTTCTACATTTTGGAGGAGGTTAAAGGATGGGAATGAGAGAAGGAAGCCTGGGGTGGGGGCAAACTGCTCTTATTCTCACTGTTATGACCCTCCAACACTAGCTCTAAATTGCCCTCCCCAATCATTTCAGGGCGATTATTCAAGGTATGGATTTTTTTAGGGCTGAAATGGGAGTGCTTTGCCTCACAAAGGCTTCCCCTCCCATTTCTATCCTAAACCAAATGAACAGGAAGCAAAAAAAAAAAAAGGCCATACCAGTCCTAATAATATTGTTGGGCTGCCAAATGGCCTTAGAAGATTGAGGAGCAGAGGACTACAGCTCAGCCTTCTGAACTTTGCCTGTCCCTGAAATATCATGGTCTTTGGGAACTGGAGACATTCTTAGATGGTTCTATTATGACTGATATTCTGCTCTCTCCATGGGGTTTGTATATTTAAAAATTTTTAATTTAAATTTTTTTTGATGATGTTTTATTTTAATAATCACTTTTTTTATCTTTTATAATGATTGCTTTTATTTATTGTTATTTTATTTAATTGTTGTATGCCACCCAGTCACTCTGTGTAAGATGGGCAGCTATATAAATGTGACAAATAAATAAATAAAAAAATAAATAAATAAATAAATAAATAAATAAATATCTCTGTGGATAAAATAAACCATGATGGGGTTATCCCTGGAAAAGAAGGATAATTTGCACTATTTGCTTTATAGTAACAAAGAAACAATTCACATTTGACTCACTTTTACTTGTTGTGTAAATGTCTGGCGTTGGAGCTGCTTTTACTGTTTGTGATGTTGTTGAGAATTCTGGGAGACATGGCATCATGGAGCCCAAAACCAGAACAAAGCACAGCACTAGGACCTATGGGGAAAACACACAGTAGAAATATTCAATGCACTGACTGAATAGGAAGGACATTTGAAGAGATGAAAAGTAAGAAAGAGAAGTGCTGGAAATCATCAAAACAATTGTGTAATGGAGAAGTGACTAGAACAATGATGGCGAACCTAGGACACGTGTGTCTAAGGTGACACACCATGACATTTTGGATGATACACCAGTGTTCATTAACACCAAACAACTATTCTCCCTGTTTGACTTACCAAAGAAACTGAGTTTGTTTTACTCATATTTCATTTTTGTAATTATTTCACATTTCTTTATATAATAAAGAGGCAGGGGAATCCACCAGGCAGGGGCCACCACACATGATTGGATTGTATTTTTTTAAATAAATGAATATGTAGAGAGTTGTTTCTCTTTTGTTCGGAGGGGTGTGTGACACGCCAGCAGAGTCAAGTTAGGTATTTTCTGAATTTTTGACACGCTAAGCCCAAAAAGTTCACCATCACTGGACTAGAACAAGGAAAACCCAGTCTCATTTCCCTATTGAGCCATGAAGCTTACTGGGCGATTTCCTGTGAGAAAGATGGGCTATAGATGTAATAAATAAAACAAATGATATTTAGGAAAGTCAACAGATTTCAATTTATGGATACATTTTTAAAATTTAGATAGGTGTATTTACTCTACAAGAATTCTAAGAGCAGATTTAAATTTGTAGTCAATCCAGTCTATTTAACACTGGGAAGTTAGTGGCAAATACATTCAACAGGCTTTTTAAAATCGCATCATGCTTCCAAGCCACATTATAGCATATTAGGTAGATTAGGCTAGAGTTCAGGAATGGTCCAAATTGAGCCTGCCATTGAGTGGCAACTGAATCATTTGGTCCAAGTCAGAAACACATCTTTAGATGAATAGGAGGAATAATATTAAAGACCTACGGAAACAAGATTCTTTTTCTGCTCTTCTAGAGTTGATATTCTCTCCCCCAGCAAGTGATGTAAGGATGAAGAAAGTTTCACCTGCTGAATTTCTGCCTATCATGAAGATGTTATTCACAGGCCAATTACCAGAAAAAGAGAAAACTTTAAAGTTGTAATGAAAGAAAAAAAAGGGGGCGGGTTTCTGGCTTAATTCTTCAAATAATAATCTTTTATTTGCTCATGCTTGAATCTGCAGCACAGAGAATGTAAATCTGAAGCTGCCTTTATTTTCTCCCAAAATGGAACAAAAGTAAGTTACATTTTAAACGAATTCAACATTCATTAAAATCTAACCTTACCATTATGTCATTTTTACCAATGAATTTTCCTGTGACAGCTATAAACTCAGCGACAGTTTTTGCTATTTTTATACCAGAGGTAAGGTCCCATTAGCATTCATTAGAAATAATTCCTTGGTTTAGGGCAGGGAAGGGGGAGGATGAACTATGCATTCAGCTGATGGTTACAGGAAGGAACAGTATTCATTCTATGAAGTCTGCAATCTAATTCTTATGTTCTGGATTCAATGTATGCCCTTGAATGGTATGCAGAAATAATCCAAGCTATATTTGGGGATTAGAAAGTAAAATGTATAAATCTTCCTGACACAATGGCTATCAAAATTTTATTCAGAGTGGGAATAGAGGAAGGGGAAGCAGGTTGATCAGGGCACTACCATCTAAGCAAGCAAGCTCAAAGCATTCATTCCTACTGTTCTTACACTGCAATATAAATGTGATGTATAAATAAATAAAATAAATAAATAAATAGTGACTTTACAATATTAAGGGCAATTTTGCACTGCAGCCTATGCTGCTTGTCTCATGTAATGCCCCCAACTGTTTCTTAACCCAAAATATTCCAGTGGATTGCAGTGAATTGGCAGTGTGGCTGAGCTGGTGCTCAGTCCAAATTATAGCCATGTGTTAGCCCTTCCAGGTAGTCCAGACAAGAAGCACAGTCATGAGTACTAACTCTATCTTTATTTTAAGGTTACATTGACAGAATCCTGCAAGTCTGAAAGTACCCCACCCGTCCCTTACTTTTACTCTCCTGAAAACTACGGAGGGTCCCTTCTGAGGTGCTTTCTTCACCCCTCCTCCTTCGGGCTCAAATTTTGTTTATCAGACCATTGTCCAGGTTGAGGCTCTTCCTCCTGTCTTCCAAGGACATACCATTACACCATGCAAGACCTGACTGGCTATTCCCCTGCTTTTTGCTCTTTCCCTCCATACAAGAAAGGGACACCCGGTCGGCTGGGTGGCTCCTATGTGGAACGGTCTACCAATGCCTGCCTTTCCCTTTCTGGAAGTGTTCCTTCCCCAGGAGTTCCTGGGTCTTTCCTTTGCTTTCCCAGATGTCTGCACACACAGATGCCTTCAACGCCATCGCTTTCCCATATTATGTCCTTGGACACTAAACCAAACTCTTTCTATTCTTTTCTCCCTTAAATTTATAACCTCAAGATAATAAAAAATCAGCCATTGCCAACCAGCAGAGATCAGAGCCTGGAAGCCTAGGATGAAATGGCCACCCAGGGCAGCAACCAGCCATAGGGGGAGAGGGGGCACATCAGGCATTGCAGCCAATCAGAACTGAGGCTGTTACTAGAACGGAACAAACCTCCTGAGGCCATCTGCTCTGAAGGGCTTAGGCTCAAGTCAGAAAACAGCCGTTTTGAGTCAAAGCTGGAAATGTGGGTGTGGGGTGCATTTGCAATGGGCCAGGAATGGGAGGACGTCATCCATTTCTGCACTCAGGAAGTGGTGAGTCCCTTACCGCAGTGGGCCAAACAGCAAATGTGGATCTGCTCTAAACTTTGCAATATTTCATGTCAAGATCACTATGAATGGAACAAGATATGTGCACAAAGAGAATCTACTTGGATTTATGAGTAAGAAAGTTTTAAAAAGATAATATGTAGACCTTACCATCAGGCATGTTCCTGTCTGTGTAGAGGCCATTTTGTATGGCCTGGAAACCTTTCCTGCTACCAGAGACTGTAGCTTTTGTAATTGCTGCAAAAGAGTCCTAGGAAATTAATTAAAAAATAACTTTTTCATCATCAGAAGAAAACAAAATCAAAAGCATTAAGAAATTTTAAAAACAGTATGCTTATGTCCTATATGAGAATATATTAATTATTATTTATTTCTATAATAGATTTACATGGTTGTCCGTCTCACAAATGTGACTCTGGGCAGCTAACATGCTAAAACAAATAAAAACTACTTACTGTAGTTAAAACAGTCCAAATCCCAAGAATGAGCAATCAGTGCAATACCTATATACCTTTGCTGAAAACCATATATTGTCTATTTATTACTGAGTACAGGAGGTCCTTGGGTTGCAAAGTTGCAGCCATTGCAGTGACCCTGCAGTCCCGGCTTGCAATCATGACAGTAAAAGCATCCTGTGGTCACGTGATTGCCATTTGTGACCTTCCCTGTCATTTTCCCACAAGCAAAGTCAATGGGGAAGCCAGCAGGAGGTTACAAGTTGCTCTAACAAGTCGCTCCCACTTCTGCCGCTTTTTCTCCCAAGGAGTCCCCGGGCAGCATGGTGATGTCCTACACCATAGCGCCCCCCCTGCCTGCACTCCCTAGTGCCTGTCTTCAGTGCCTGTTCCCTTGTTGCAGTCACATGAGGTCCTTGCTCAATGATCTGCATGGTTTTCGCTTAACAACGGCAACTGGGGCTGCTGGGATTGCCATCACTAAGTGTCATTGTGCTTTATGGCCACATTGCTCAGTGACAGAAATACGGGTCCCAATTGCCATTGTAACCTGAGGACTACCTGTACTGTGCTTCGGTTGTAAAGGAATCCTCCTAATAATTCACAAAGAAAGGAAAAGTGGATAGGGTCTCTCTCTCTATTTTTTTTGGTTCCTTCAAGTCAATGTTAGCACCTGGCAACTGCCTGGATAAGTCCCTGCAGGTTTTTGGCAAGAATTTCAGAAGTGATTTGCCTTTACCTTCTTCCTTGGGCTGAGAGTGACTGGCCCAAGGTCACCTAGCTGTTTTTTGTACCTAAGGCGGGATTAGAACTCACGGTCTCCTAGTCTTTAGCCTGGTGCCTTAACCACTACACCAAACTGGCTCAACTGGACAGGGACTCTGCATTCCCACAGTGGGGACTTCTGGCCCAGGTAGTTGACTTTGTCTGCCACAGCCACCAATAAGAAGATTGGACTTGATGAAGGTTCAGGTGCTCTTGGAACAGGGACATCTCCTTTGAGGCTTAATGATTTAATATTTTTTTAAATGGTTTGACTGTTTGGCTGTAATTCCTCCATCTGATAATAAATCATGGAATTAGAACTGCATTAGCATGTGGAAAAGCTGGATACAGTTTCAGAAGAACTACACTGGCCCTGCAAACAGTATTGTCAGTGGGAGAAAGAGTATAAGAGACAAGAATTTGGTGTTTTGAATGCAGAGAATGTACAGAATCAGAGAAGGCAAAAGCTCATTAATTGTCCAGTAGATGGCAGTCATCAGCTATCAACAAAGCTACCAAGCTACGGAAAAGCACAGAGCCATTGAAAAACAGAGTATGCTTCAAGCTTCCAGAGTCCTAAGAAGCTGCATCTAACTATAAAGTAGGACCAGAACCTGCTGTTGAGCAACAAAAAAAGGGAGAAAAGGGCATGTGACAGAGCCCCTGAATGAGGGCAGAAAGGACAAACAGACTGGAAAAGCTCAAGCACAAATCAAGATTAAGTGAGGAGCAGATTCCGGACAACAAAGTCAAGGTACACATAAAGTTGTGTCCATACCACATTAAGCAAACATACATACCTGTACTATCCATGCATTTATTTATTGATAGCATTTATTTGGCCACTGAATTCAAAAAACAAATTGAAACAAACTCTGGGCAGTGTAAAAACTGATGAGCAAAAATACCAAAACCAAAATCAACAACGCTAGCTAAAAGCAAATGTAACAATTCATCAGTTATCAAAGACTTAAATTTATTGCACTCTTTCAGACAGGAACTCTCATCATCCTGACTCAAATACCTGAAGAAGCCAAGATTTCACTGCCTTTCTAAAGGCCTGCAGGGTTGGGGCCAACTGTATGTGTGTGTGTGTGTGTGTTGTGGGGGGCGGAATTGTTGTTATGTAGGACACTGTGATTATGCAAGCAGAGACCCAATTCTAGGGAAGATGAAGTACATAGATTTCTTCTTTCCAGTCACTGTGATCTGTAAGATGGATCAGAGGGGTAAAAACAATACAATTTAACCAGTGAGAGACCTCCCTTGGATTAGGAAAGACGATAAATTTATAAGAAGTCTCCCTTGAATCAAACTGAGCTCCTGGTGACTAGATGGCCACATCAATGTTGTTTTTGTAACAACACAAGTTGTTTGCCATTACCTTCTTCTGGAATGGTTTTCAACTTCCAATCTAGTCTACAGTCCTGAGACTTTGTGATCTTTCATCTAAGTACTAATCAGGTTGGAACCCCCTTAGCTCTTTCAAAATTTCCAAGCTTGACTAGATGCTGTCACCTGCAGTGGCTTATCTTCTTACCTCCCTGCAATTGATCCCTAAATGGGACTGTACCCTCTTCTAGGCTGTCTGTGCTTCTATATATCATTAAGGTACTATTTAGTATAACCAGATAACAAGTTCTCAACCACACAGCCAGCACACAGGGTCTAGGAAGGAACAGCACTTCCACACAGACTCCTAAACCTACAGGGATCTCTCTGGCTCCAATGGACTCAGGGTTCAGCTAGTTGCAGGCTCTCTCTATTCGCAACCTTTCCAAATTACCATTAAAGCAGAGGTTCAGGCCCTAATCAGTAAAATGAATAGTGAGGGAGGAGCCAGATGCAACAGGGCTGCCTTACCATATTTTAAGCCAAAGAAAGAAACACTTCCCTCTAAGTAAACCTCCGCCCACTCCTAATATGACAGTTATGTCTGGAAACTAAAACCACCTAATAGCAGTGCTGGACTCTTCCAAGAAATGAGCTTTAGCAAGGAAATCAGGGCACACTGCCTTCCTGACATTCTTTCCTGTGTCCTTTGAATCTTGTTTTCCTTTATTGGTTTTGTGTCCTTGGCTATAAATGGCTTTTCATAACTCCGGCTTATACCTATCTGACACTGGCAAGCGTCTCCAGCAAAACTAATCCTTGATACGTTTCAAATCAACTAACGGCCAGCTGAGTTGACCCTCCCAAGCAGCAGCATAAGGGGGCTGTATAAGGTTGCAGGGGCTGTGTGGGTGCAGGTGCACGAGTACATGTGCATACGCAGTTTCTGGCCACTGAACCGTATTTCAGTACTATTGGCAGATTAGCATCTTCCATATACCCAATGCAGCTGGGCAGCTTATGGAGAGCAGAACAGTTTACCTAAGGGACCGCCTCTTCCCCATGACGTCAACCCATCCTACCCGATCACATAGAGAGGGCATGCTTCGGACCCCCTCAGTAAAAGAACTCCAATCAGCAGGTTCCAGAAGGCGGGCCTTCTCTGCTGTAGCCCCCACTCTTTGGAATATTCTGTCCCCAGAGGTGAAATGGGCCCCCTCACTCTCAGCCTTCTGGAGGGGTTTGAAGACCTGGCTCTGCCACTTGGCCTGGGGTGGGGAGGGAAGACATCAAATGTGGGGATGGCTAG